AGCGTCCGCGAGGACTTGCTCCTTTCCTTTTCCTCAGAATTCCTTTTCTTTTCGTTCTGGCTGTGACGGGAGCAACGAGAAACTTGAGGACAAAAGAGAACGACGACCGTGACGAGACGAAGACAGAACAATCGGGCTAAGGCGGAAGGCAATGAGGTCTTCGAATTGTGGACGGAAGTACCCTCTTCATTTCTGCATCCTTTGCATTCCGATTCCCGGAGCAAGAAAAAAAAAGGGAAGAAAAGAAGACGAGGTGGAAGGAAGGTACCTCTCCAATACCGTGTCTCGAGAAAATCTTTTGGTCTGTCCGCCGCGAATTGTAGCCCGTTCGAGACGGTCGAGGAGATCAGAATGGAGATGCCTTCCGAACGAATCGAAGTACGACGAGTGAATAAAATGTTTGACTTGCGAGATCATTATCGGATTTGTAATAACACGTGGATTAGATGCTAATGAGGTCTTTTTCATCTTGTTTAATTCTGCTTTGATCATCTCAAATATTAATCACAACGAAAGTAAATTCGAAAGATAGAAAAAAAAATTTTACGAGTACGAACTGCATAGTATACGTAAGAGAACGTATAATCATAATATCTAGATATTTCGTGTTTATTATTCGAATGTGGACTGAATTTGACTAACGAAGACCAAAGTTGTGTCGAATAACAAGCGTTTCCAAGTTTCTGTTCATTAGTGTCGGTCGTAAACGATAAAAGCGACGTTGGCGGAAGTAATTGGTCAAAATTTGATCCATACCATCAAGCCACATTTCTGCCGCTCGAACTGCAGCTGTTGTTACGAGGTAGAATAAAGGAAGGATGGTTAATTTGATAAGGTAATTAGAAATAATGCCTGACAGAATTGCGCGCCAAGTTGGTTAAAACATCGGTGCTTAAGTCGCAACAGATGTAATAATTACAGATGAGGAATACTAGTTGATTCGCGATCAATAAAAGCGATCACTTTGAGCAGGATCCTTTCCGTTTGTGCGCCAGTATTCTAATGTCTACCATTATTTAAAGTAAACTTCTTCAGCGTCCAAAAGCAGAATTGTTAATATTGTCGTTTTCTTTTCTTTTAAAAAATTTTTAATAAGGATATTAAGAGACGAAGCAATCGATTAAGAAAGAAGCGCAATTAGTAGATTGAAATTTATATTATTGGATAAGATATCGAGAATAGAACGGCTTGAAAAGCTTCTTTTTTTAGCACTGTTTTTATACGAAATGAATTAAATCCGTTACGTTTTGGAATGTAATATCACTGCAAAATGAATTTAAAAGAACGATATTATTATTGTTATTATTATTATTGTTTTATTGCATTCTTTTCAAATGTCGGTGATTAGAGATCTAAGATTTTGCATTTTTCACGCAAATCTCGATAAAAATATGGGTAATGACTTTTATAAGTGATTGATAGATTTTAGAATAATTTATTATGTCATTATTACATGTATACATAGTCACATTTTTCCGCAAAAAATAAAACTCCAGAATCAAGCGGAAAAGTTATGAAAAAATTTGAAAGTAAGAACTTCAATGGCAGATGTTTGTGTACATTTACTCTGTGAGTACATGGAAATATCAATGATGTTTTGGAAACGTAACGTGATAAACTGACAATGGAAAAATGGTTAAAAAAATTTGAACAAATAATAACCTAGCCGCTGATGGACCGATGAAGATCAATTCATACTTGTCATTGAACGGCTTTTAAAATTTACATTGGAAACCGAATCGATATATTGCAATTGACCGATGGAGATCGATTTTATTAAAGCTTATTACCGAGTGGTAATCGCTTCAGATGAGGGAGAAAATGCTTTCAGGAATGATTATTTTAGTGTGAAAAATACATAATTGTTTTTGCATGTAAGAAAAAGTATTCCAGGCTTTTGAGATAATTTCCACTACGTCAATTTCACGCGAATTTATTTGAACAATTAATATAATAATGTTACATTTGTATGTATTTAAATTTTATTGTGTAGGCGTGAATGCGAATTTTCTTTGTACATTCCGTTCAAAAATATTTAACAATAGCGATAAACCACGAGAAGAACTAAGCAGCGCAATGGTAGATAAAGTTGTGAAAGATAACAAACGTTTTACGCTGAAACTGCTCGCAGAGTGAGCAGAGTTTATAGAAGCATTCGAAAATATGGTGCACTCTCGGAAGCAAACACGCTCATTTCGAAAATATCGTAGTACCAGATAGAAATAAAGGAAAATTCTTAGGGTGCTGTTCTTTCGCAGAGATCTTATATTTCTCGTGGAATCAAAGTACGATTACGAGAAAACACGGTACATGTTTACTAAAGAGCCACATATAAATATCAAAATAGAACAAAAAGAGCAGCGCCAAATCATTGAGTAAAGAAATCTCTCCTTTAAAAGCAATATCTCCAAAAAGAGAGATAAATCGCGTCATTGGCGAACGTTGTATTTTTTCAATAAGAGAAAATGCGGGTTTAGAAACGCGTTCGCGGAAGCTGCGTCACCGAGGTAAAATATCTGCGAGAAGATGGCGAGGCAGGCGAGTGTATCTCGGATATGTCTGCATTCCGGTGCACGTTTGCCACGATTTGTTCTATCTCGACTTCTTCTATTCTCTCTTTCTCTCCGAAGAATTCTCACGTATCTGCTCGCCTTCTCGTAGCACGATGCAATCGTGTGGAAAAGCAGCGGTCCAGCGAAGGGCAAATATTCAGTCGAGAGAATTTGTCTCATCGGAAACACCCCAGTTCTACATCGCAAAAATAGCATGTTGTTTCGTGAAAATTCTCAGAACACAATGCAAATTTCGTTCGAAGGATCTCTACGACTACGATATGTCTGTTAAAATTTCATCACTTGTAATGCAGATAACATGACATATTGCGTTAGTAACTCGGAAAAACAAGTTAATATTCAAGAACATATTTTTATATAGTATACTCTCAACGAATTTAAATAAATTACAAATAATAACGGCAGATACGAATGAGATTAAAAGCTCAATCATATTATAAATTAACCAGCTCACTTACCGCCGCCTTTAGCAGATTGCGAGTTATTCGGTGGGCTCCGCCCTTCGGGTTTTCAAAAGGATAAAATATAAGGGTGATTTATTATACGGAAATTTTTAAAGTATTTTTACACTTTTTATTAATGATACTTTTAATTAGGGGTCTTTAGAATTTTTTAAATACGTAAAAGTTTTTTAAATTTATTTATCAACAAATTAATATATATTAAATATTTTAAAAGATCCAATAAAAACTTTAATAATAGTATTGATAAAAACAATAAAAAATATCAATTTAATATATAAAAACTAATATGTAAATAAAACTTTAAATTCTCATAAAATTTAAATACTTCTTTCTAAAGCAAAATGATAATTATTCCCAATTGTTTGCAGACATTTGATTTTTTGCATGTTGCATGTAGATCACTTTGTTTGATTTAAAAAGTCAAATTCAAGTCAAAGTCGATTAGTCAATTTGGGTACATGTATACGCGCAAAACTTTTTAAATTTTTACAAACGCGAAAGTCGGAAATGGTTTTTCGATATCTCGAATAGTTTCGGAAGTTCTCGCCTGTTATGTTTTTTGCATCGTTGAATGTATATACATCACTCTGTTCGAACGTGTCCAAAAACTCATTCACTGACTCACTTCCACTCACTTTAACTTACTTTACTAACTTCTCTGATTGTCACGCAGCAGTTATCCTTATGTATCAGAGTTGTACTTTCTGAAGCATGAAATTTCAATCTTAATCTATCTGAGCTTCCGATTCTATTTACTCCCACTACTCTCTTACTTTACGAAAGATTGCGATAGACATTGTATGCAATGATGTTTTAAAAAAAAAATTACTTTTAATGAAAAGAAGAAAAGAGGTTCGTTTAAAATGATTCGCGTCCAAGGACTAAGAAGAAGGTCTCGGTGTTTCTCCTAACTATGAGCATTGCGGAGCGCTCGACCTACTTTGACAAAGTAAAACCAAACTTTAGTGAGTTCGTCTATAAGACTGATATCAAAACTGTTATTCCATAAGAGTCACCCTAGTAAAATGGCACACGTCCAAGTTGCTGTGAATCAGAGCAAAATGTTCGCACTACAATCTTTTCCAAGAGTTTGCAGTACGTATAATATACTTTGGTTCGTTTAAGAGAAGCACAAACAGATATGATCAATTAAATGTTATTTATAACCTGTGTAAGAAAAGAATTTAAATCTTTCTTTGTTAATGACGCTTAGAATAATATTCGCGATCTTGCAGCAATGGGATATAGCGAGTCGCAGTGATAATATCGAAGAATGCGTCGGCGAGTGAAAACGTCGATTACAATCGCGACATAATCTAACCAAGTCGAACTTGGCTGTAATGATGTCGTTCCTGCTGATCGTAGAGCGGCTGTGAACGACCGCCTATTCTCTTAGAACGCAGGTAACCTGCGTTCCTTTCGCGGATCGCGGATCAGCGTTCTCAGAACTTTGTGAAACAACGAGCCAACCGAAGGAGACGCGTGGAAGGTCGAAGGTTCCAACGACTCCTTTAATGACTCTTCACAGGTCCAACTTAGTAGGAACTTAACCGTTTTACGTCTCTCCTTCTTGGCAGGATACGGAAGAGCGAACATTATCGCTCTTTCCCTCCCGTTATGTGTATACCCGAGATCCTCCAACAATGTAAACTGAGGCTGATAGAGCCGCATGGTGCTCCAGGACTTTCATCAAAGACCATCCTCTTCTGCGTAGAGCATTGTTTAATGTAAAGAGTACCCTCCAAGTTCAAAATTACCACCAGCTAGAGAAACAGTCCCCTCCCTCCCATCCACGTCCGTCGTTACTTTCGCATCAATGAGCAATGGAAGTTTCACTCCAATAAGTTCTTCCATTCGAAGATTAGAAGTCGATGGAGAACGCCATTGTCATGGCAGTCAAATCACTCGATAAACCCCCCTTCCCTCTTCCTGTTCAAATTTAACACCATAAAATGAAACTTACCCCCCACTATCAGCAGCAGATGAAGCAGACCACATCGCATTTTTTTGTACTTCCGGCGAAAGTCTTTATCCATTCTGTTGTGAAGAATCCCTCTGTTTCACTGTAACGCGCGCGCGTCGCGCTTCTTGCTTACATATATCCCCGCTCGCAGATCGGTACCGCGGCGCTTCCGTTTCTGCGGGTTTCCATAAAAGAAAAAAAAAAAGAAACTACTCGCGCGAACGAAAAGGTGGAAACGCGCGGACGCGGGACAACATCGGGAAAAGTTCGCAAGATCGGAGAGTTTGCGTGTAAGTAAGGTGATTTTGACGCGTTTCTCTGGCACCGCTCGCGCGTCGATCTGTCGGATCGGCGTTCGAAATCGGCAAGACTGGCGACACGGCGCGGGCGCCACGCGGCCGCGATAGTTCCTGACTTGCAACTGACGAGGGATGCTGCACGAAGAGTTTGCGCCAGCCTCGCGCCCGCGCACAGAATCCTTATTCCCCTTCGCCCCCTAACCGGCCACAGTCAGTTAGTCAGTCTCTCTCTCCCGTCCCGCATCTCCGTTTATCTCGCGTTCTTCCGTCCACGTTCTCGCTCGTGTCCTGCCCCCTCATCCTGACTCACCGTCTTCCTTCTCTTTCGACGATATCAATCCACCCTTCCCCTCCCCGCCGATCCCTTTCTCACCCTCTTATTCCTGCCCCCTGCATTCACACGAGAACTTCTTTCTCTTTTACGCAGCCCTCTATCGCTGTAGTTGTCTTCTGACTCACTCACTATTACAGTTTTTCCATCCCTTCCGCTTCGTCCTTCCCGCGACGTGTCGCCGTCTCCTCTCTTCTTTCCTCCTTTTGCAAACGATCGCGCTCCTAGCCATCCTCCGGATTTCTCTCTATCCCACCTATCCAATTCAGCCCCCCATGGTCGTCATCCCGTTTATCCGTCTTCCATCCCCCACCGCGATCGCACCCACCATCTCCACCACATATCTAACCTCGCGCGCATCCTTTCGGCGGCTGTATCTCAAACACTAAAGAGTTTCTTAGGAAATTGAATTGAATGCCACCCTTCCCCGCGTTTCTGTCTTTTCGACGGCCCCACCGCCTTGTTCTCCCACGCGCTCTGTCTTTTCCACCGTTTCCGCACTCTCCTCCGTTACTTTCGGGGGTGATCTCGTCTCTCGTCATCCCTTCGCTTCCTCTCTCTTTCTCTTTTTCTCACTCTTTCTCTCTTTTTCTTTTCTCCGTACTGTGCCATTTACTTTCGCACTCATTATCTGTCCGTCTTCGTCTTCGTCGTCACCCTCTTCCCAAGAGTTCCCGCCAAACTGATTGTCTCGCCGTTAAGCGGCAATTTATATGTTAACAGGCTCGAATCGGTCGAGAGTCATGCATACGTTTAAGGAACGGGATTTCGTAGAAGAGGCTGGCACAACAATGACAATGACAGCACAAATGACTGTCCGAAAACAAAATTCTTTTAGTCCGGCTGTATTATTTGCCATTTATTTTTTTTTCTTTTATAATTTAGTGATTTTCATAAACTTTTTATGGAGTAAGAGAGTGAAAATATATTTTCAAAACATATTAATATTAAATTATTAATTCCTGTACTAAACTCTATTTATTATTTTTTAAAATTCTAAAAATATATACAAAAGGCTGAATAGGGAAATAGGTTGTACAAGAGAGGCTTTATTATTATAATAATAATTATAATAATTTATTACTATAATTCACTAACAACCTATATGAACATTCATTCTTCGAATCCAATTATTGCGTATGTTTTTACGGCTTTGTTTTCAACAAAGCCATAAAGAGCTCGCCCCGCGCAAAGCAATTAGTTTGTCCAGAAACTAACATGAAGCGGCTGAATTTGTGTATAAAGTTAACGTAGAGAATCGCAACTACGTTGCAGTATGACAACAGTTCAGTTTAATACCCTGCGACATCACCGTGTTAAAATAAACTTTGATCACATCGCTTGGCATTCGTTTAACACTCAGATAGTATGAATTTTCGTAACTTTGTACTTACGACATTGTCATAATCGCATAAGTAGTGTAAGTATAACGTATATTTAAGAGGAGAGTTGCTTTATTAAATATATTAATAAAACAAAAGCGAAAATCGAAACTATTTTAATGACAAAAAGATGAACTAAAAACAAGTCTACGATATAATTGTTCCTTCACGGATTAACTTAATCCTTTGCAATTGTTAATATTTATTATATAAATCGCGATATTTGTCGTAAGTACTAATCGGCTAAAAAACAGCAACGCACGATTGCACGTTTGGGATGAACGATGAAGAATTCTTAATAAGGAAACGTCACATAAAATAACAATCAAGAATTTTCTGAGCTCACACCGTATTATGCAAATTATTACTTTTTTCGCTAACACGCGCGTAAGTCCATAAAAATACAAGCAGCATTGGTGCGAGGTTAACAATGAGATCTTTACCTAAAGAGCTAAATCGAGGAGAAACAAGGAGAAAGAAATTCATGGGGAAAGAAATCATAATTAAGCTCTTCGATCGATTCTTCGCTTGTTAACTACTGCAGGTTGCTTCGTTGTTTTCGTTGCCAGCAACGCGATAATTAATATGATCCCTCGCGGAAGTCAGCTCGTTACCTCGAACAACAGTCGAACCGACCGAATTGGTGCTGCAACCACTCCATAATTTATCGCCGTGACGTGATGCGTCGTTCATCAGGGCAACTCTGCGACATCGTAACGCGCGGATCCGCAAATTTCATCAATGCGTCATACGTAACGAAGGATCGAACACCCGCCGCGTTCCGAGCGGATGCTTTTCGCAACGGCGGCGGAGAGGACTGCGAGAAGACGCGGGGGCGAGGGGGCGGAGGGGGGAAGAGGGTTGTCGGGCTGTGTGTTCAACTTCGGCAAACAGGCTATCGGGAAAATATGGTGGCGGCGATGAGCGAGTCCCTATCAATTCGTTGACTCATTAGACGGCGACGCGACACGCGAATTCTCCGCAGCGCGGCGGAAACGTTTTGGGACGCGGCAGAACGCTACGAACTCACGGTTTCGCCGCGAGAGCATTGACGCATTTGATTAGCGAGGCATACTAAATTGGCTCATGAATAATTCTATCTGTGCAAATTACTCGTGGCGAATCTCGATGAAGATGACATAGCGGAATCAATATCAAGAGCATTACGCGAGCATTACGGCCTTCTTTTTATGTACGTCGGTCGGTATAAACAGGAAAAAGTAACTTGGCGGATTGCACACGCTTTTACTTGTTGCATTTGCCGCATTGTAAAAGGAGATATTATCGGATGATATTTCCTAGATAGAGCCACAAGTATCTCCTTTAATCTTCTCGTAAATATGCGATGTCCGTCCATGCGATGTCTAGAATAATTAACTTTACGTTTGTTTAATTTGAAAATTGTATCAAAAAGTATCAAAATGTATCAAAAAGTTATAGATGGTATCACTGATTCCGTGACAATATGTGTCTCGTAGGGAGGTGAACTTTCCGTAACCCAAGAGAATTATGTGTACAAAGAGCGAGAGAAAGTTTAATTACTCCCACGTGAGGAGTTACCCTCGTAAGTAACATGCACAGTGCGTTTTCTCAAAGCGCGGATCGATCAACCGCGTGAAATCTGGAAGTACGGAAGCTGCCGTCGTGGAAAATCATATTTTATTTGCGTGTTACGTCTGGATTGAAGTGTACCATGAGCTCTCTTGGCGTCATCGTAGTGCGAGTCTTCGAGAAATTGAAGAAAATTCACCGGCGAGTTTGTCACACGTCGCATAGAATTCTAAGTAATCTAACTGCACATAAACGAACTAAGGTGAAATGACTTGCGATCGCACAGATTTATGCCCGCCCGCCTGATTTTAACCCCGAATGAAATAAAGTTCGATTAGCTAAACGAACTCAAGGGCACACGCACGTGTAATTGGGAAGTTAAATTACTTTTACGTGAGAAGTTATACGCTCCTGTTCGCTTACATATAATATGTTCCGGCGAAGTTGCTAACAAATCAGCGCGAAATTCCAGAATAACGTGGAGCTGCGGGCCCGTGTGGACAAGTTTTGCTTTGGTCTTAACTTTTCGACTTAACTGCATAACTTTAATATTACCGAAATAAAATTGTACAGCAAACAGCACGATAACAGAAACTATAAAAGAGTTGAACTAAAGTCAAAACGGTAAGTTTAAGTGGAAATATAAAGTGAAAGATTTAACGAGATATCATATATCCACAATCTGCGGAGCAGTTAAAGAAAATCACAAAGATGCACTTCTGCCGCAGTTTACGTGGCGTATTAAATGCGATGTTATTACAGATTCATTTTAGTATGATAACACGCGTACGTGCGTAATTCTAAAAATAGATCAAACGTACGAATCTTATTTTTTTTTAATGATTTAATGTTCTTGAGATATGCGATTCCAAGCGGCGGGAGAGTCCGCGTTGTTTTATAATAATTTCAATCCTCCGAAATGCGTCACGAGCAGAATCAAGAGGCATACGCTCACATATAATTAGAAAGTTAAATTACTGCTACGGCAAATGTTATTCTCGTATGCGAGCTGCACGACACAAGGCGAGGCTGCGTCGCTTCTGCATCCCAAATTGTGCGATTTACCTAAAACGTTCCATTATTACCGCATGTTGTAGCGACCAGAAGATACTCGGTGACGCGTAAAATAGAGCTGGACGTAATTCAGGGAATTATTTGGTCTCAGAGAGGGAAATCAAGAATTTTATTAGGCGGATATTTGTCGCAAGTATCGCAAAAATCGCATACACAGATAGATCTAGCCATTGGTGCCTATCTAAATTCACATTACGGGAGATTTTAGAAAATTATTGTTTTAATATGCGCATACGTTATAATAATAATAATAATATCACAAAATTATAACATCAAATTCATCGAATTATACTGTATAAGCTATTAAAATAAACAGGAATAATTGACATACGTTAAATGATACATTATTCATGACAATCAAAAATAATCAACGTGCAAGAAGTGTCAGAACTCACGGATTACGTCCTTGACATGTTGACGTTAAGGTGTACTAACGTTGAAATGTTACATCGGTAGATACATGCGGGAGAGAAGGCAAAAAGTCACGAGTAATAATAACAAATGAAATTTTCCCCGTCGTCACGACGGCATTCACAAGTCGCGCGAGTACACGCTGCAAAGTTATATCACTCCTACGCAAGATGTTAGACCTGTACGTAACATACGCGACATGGTTCTGAATGGGAAAAGCACGAGAGCAGAATCACAGGGATATATCTGGAAGAGGAAGAGCACGATGGGATATAGAGGAGCTGATACCCGACTAGGTCACGTCACCTTTACATCCGGGTGTGGTGCTCAAATTGACCCTTAAACATTAACTCCAGTAGCTTTACGCCGCCC